GCACTGCCGAAGGTTGGGACATAAGTCGGGGAAGCAAGTGCGCGTCTCTGAATCTGATACCCAACATCACCAGCGGCTGTGTCAGAGAGAACAGCACCTCCAGCTGGGTACTGGTGCAAAACGGTGACGTGCCTCCAGTGATGATGCGTGCGACGGAGCTCAACGTCACGAATCCGTTCATGGAGGCCTGCCAGCGCTCGTGGGCCACGAAGCAGGTGAATCACAGGGTCCTCGAGGTCTGAGGTGTGCTCGGGCCACTGGAAGTAGCTCCCGAGTGCGAGGTTGACGATTGAAGGTAGCTCCTTGCATCCTGGCAGCCTCTAACGGGCGGGTGGCAAAACAAAAAAGATCGCGGCGCCCTGACTCCAGATCCGCTTCACTCTTCAGCGATTTGGCAAGTAGTGCGGAAATTGTTGCCCTGCTTTTGAAGCTCCTTCGATGCCGATGTCCGCCTTGCTTTTCCATCGCTCTACTTTTGTAAACGTCCACCTCACTTTGTGGACAGATCTGCTGCAATTTCCAGAGGAAGCGATGGGCACCTCAACGACATTGCGCGGATCTGTCCGCAAAGTTGCGAGCTGTCCACAGGCATAGGGAGGCAAATCCCACATGAGGCGAAAATTCTAGCTGTACTTGTTTGCATCTTTGGGGCTGCATTTCCGACACAACTCTGAGTTGGCAGATCAACCAAAGAACGGTTGATCCGGAGTCAGGGCGGGCGGTTCTCTTGCAGTTCAGGAGGGGAAGAACACACACTGACACAATTAATCGTCGACTTCCAGAAAAATATTGGAACATATGGGAAGTGGGGAGGAAGACGAACACCCAGAAAATATAGAAAAATATAGGGTATCCTGCTATTGTGTGAGTTTAATCGTGTGTCCCTGGGCCCCTTTAGCAGTGTCCGGTCTCCGAGGCCCCGCGTCCCACTCACTCCTTCCTCGTCCCCATCCTCCCTCCTCCTCCTCCTCCTCCTTTTCCTCCTCCTTTTCCTTCTCCTTATCCTCCTCCTCCTCCTGCTTCTCCTTTTCCTCCTCCTCCTCCTCCTCCTCCTTTTCCTCCTCCTTCTCCTCCTCCTCCTTCTCCTCCTCCTCCTCCTCCGTCCTCGCCCTCCTCCTCGCCCTCCTGCACGTTCCTGTTGCGGCGCATCCCTCACGCGTTTCGTGGCCCGCGCAGGGGCTCTGCCGAAGGCTCAAGTGGCAGCGCCCGCACGGCACCACCGCGCCCGTCTCGGCACGCCCCTCACGCGCCAGCGTCAGCGCCCGCAGGGCACCACCGCGCCCCCGCTTCCGCACACCCCTCGCATGCCTTGTGGCCCCATAGGGAGCGCCACCGAAGGCCCCAGTGGCAGCGCCCGCATGGCACCACCGCGCCCGTTTCGGCACGCCCCTCGTACGTTTCGCGGCCCCCAGAGGGAGCTCCATCGAACGCGGTCGGTATCCACAGCGCGGTATTCACAACTGCATACATACATACATATATATATGTGTGTATATACATATTGTGGTCTCTCGTCAGGATGATTCTTCGCAAGCTTCGAGGACGCCCTGAGCGAACACAATGGTTTGCATCAGTTCAGTCCCATTCAGCGCTCCGAATGAGCCCCGATCGGAAGCGCCACGCCGGCGGAGGCAAAAGGATCGGCGGCGGAGCCGGCGAAGGGTCCCTGCCGGCGGCAGCCGCCAGGGGAGCGGGGACGGAAAGAGCCCCAGGTGTCCAGAGATATCATCTGTTCAATCGGTGAACGACGATGCTGGCTGAACGCGGAGCGCGTCATCGCCACTGCCATCGCCATAGTCATCCTTTCTCGATGTCGCTGCACGGTTTTCCTGTGCAGCTTTGGCGCGCGGGGGGCTGACTTTTCATACTCTGACCGCGGCCCTGGAGGAGGAGGAGGAGGAGGAGGAGGAGGAGGAGGAGGAGGAGGAGGAGGAGGAGGAGGAGGAGGAGGAGGAGGAGCCCCCTCGCGTCTCCTCCGCGCTCCGAGCTCCGCTCCTTGGACCCCCCCCCTCCCTCGGCAGCGCTCGGACGTGTGCATTTGCTTCCTTCGGCGAGGACCCTCGAGGAGCATCCTCGATTCTTTAGGAAGGCACCAACTATACACCAACACCGATCCTGGCCAGGATCGGTGTTGGTGTATAGTTGGTGCCCTCCGATTCTTGTGGCGAAAAAGCCGCGCACGAGACCGCAAAAAGAGCACAGGGCATGGACGTCCGAGCGACGGGGAGGTCCTGACGCCGACTGGCAGCTGCGCCGGCTGCTCTCTGCCCGCCTGCGCCCGCGGGTCGCAGAGGGTGGTCCTCTTCGGCTCCGGCCCCCCGGCGCCGCCCAGTTATTCGGGCACCACGCTGAAATCGGGCCTGTCCCTCCGCAGGGGGGGGGAGATTCAAAAATAGTCCAAAAGATAGTCTGGGGACTATTTTCGAGCATTTGTGGGAATCTTTTGGGCCTTTTTTGTGTATTCTTCATTTTCCGTCCAAAATCCCCCTGTAGGTGGACAGGCCCGACCTGACACCACGCGAAACTGAACCGGGACGGAGAAGTGCCCCTGTATAGGGGAGCTGGTCGGCCCTTCCGAGGCCGCGCACTGCAACGGGATGCCCCCGGCGCGACCTCACGAAGGGGTTGTCTCGGGGGCCCCCAAGCGGGGTGGTGACCACACCGCGTGGTGAGTCGGTGGGGATTCGAGGTCGCCGCACGGTTTTGGGACTCGAGTCCCTCTCCGAGGACGTCTCGGGCGACGGGGGCCTCCAGGGTCCCAAGGCCGTGCGGTGACAGACCGCGCGGTGAGATCTCTTGGGGTTTCGAGGTTACCGTACGGTCTGTCACCACACGTTTCTGTCAAGGGAGGAAAAGCCACGCGGACCGGACAACTGGCGTTTATTCAACGGCCTCGGACGTTTACTAAACAGCCCTGCCCTGTTCGATTCCTTCAGTGCGGGCGTTTAGTAAACGGCTTTGCGTGTCGGGGTGGTTTTTATGGGGGTGGATTGTTTGCCCTCTATTTTTGGATCCCCAATTTTGGGTTACCAAGACCCAGGTCAAGGAGCAGCGCAGCGCAGAGCGACGCGTTGCAAACCACTGCTTGGCCCTGTGTTCGCCCTGCCTGGCAGTGCTTGGCCCTAAGCTGCTGGGGAGCAGTTTGGCCGAGGGAGACTCAGCGATGGGCCGAGACCGAGGAAGGCGACGAAGGCAGCGGTGAACCGAGACCAGGGAGACCCGGGCAACACCGGGCGCCTCCCCTGCACGGGACCAAGGCCAGGGAGACTCGGGCAACGCCGAGCGCCGCCTCTGCACAGGAACCCCGAGGAACCCAGGAACCCGGACGACGCCGAGCGCCGCCCCTGCACGGAGCCAAGACCAAGGAACCTGGGCAACGCCCAGCGCCGCCTCTGCAAGGGGCCAAGGCCAAGGAGCCCAGGCAACGCCGAGCGCCGACTCTGGGGAGAGGCGTCGCACCCGGAGAGGCTCTGCACCAAATGGGTGTGAGCCCCCGTGTGTGGCAGAGCTGGACTGGGGAAGCGCAGCGGCGGAGAGCAGGGGTGGGGACGAAGACCGGCTGCAGATGCTGCCCCCCTGTGGTGCGCAGGTTTCGCCAGAGTGCGGAGGCCGCCGAACGCCACCGGCCAGGGGAACAGGCAGCGGGGAGAGGCCGGCGAGGCATGGCACGAGCGAGAGAAAGCATGTTGCGCTCGAAAACCGTTCCCTTCCTCACCTGGCGTGTGGCGCCAGCTGTAGAAGCATGTTGTCCGTCCCCTTTTTCCCCCTCAGAAAAATCGGCCACGCGCAGGGGGGGGGGGGGGGTAGGTCGGGGGCAACGATAGGGGGGAATAGGCATGGGGGGATGCATCGACCCCCAATCGCCCATTGATCGCCGATAGGGGCCCGATAGCCCAAACCTGCACAGCAAGGTGCGGATTCACTATCGGGGGCCTATCGCCGATCTATCGGCGATGTATCGCCGATTCCAGGTCGATGCATCCCCCCCTATGCCAGTCCCCCCCTATATAGTTGTCCCTCAGGTAGGGGGAGGGAGGAAGGCTTCTTACAAGCACCCCTGCTTCGTAGAAGGCGCGGGCCTCGTCCGCAGATGCAGGGCCAGCGCACGCTGAGAAGCAGCCTCCTGAGAAGCCCTCCCCCCTGCCCCCCCAGCAAAAAGCTTACTCCCCTCCCCCCTCCCCTCCCTCCCCCCTGAGAAGCCCTCCCTCCCCTCCCTCCCTCCCTCCCTCCCTACCCTCCTCCTGAGAAGCCCTCCCCCCCCTTCCCCCTCCCTCCCTCCCCTCTGTGCGCGCAGCCCCGCCAGCAAAAAGCTTACTGTTTGCGTCGCAGCTTGGTAGGGGCAGTGCGCACGCGCGCTCGGGCAAGCTGGGCAGCGGCATCGATAACTGTCCGGCGGCAAGAGGCGAGGAGGAGGAGGAGCAGGAGGAGGAGGAGGAGGAGGAGGAGGAGGAGGAGGAGCAGGGGGAGGAGGGAGGAGGAGGAGGAGGAGGAGGAGGAGGAGGAAGGAGGAGGGGAGGAGGAGGATGAGAGGAGGAGAGGAGGAGGAGGAGGAGGAGGAGGAGGAGGCAGAGGAGGAGGAGGAGGAGGAGGAGTGTGCGGCCGCGGGGCGGAGGAAGGGAGGGAGGGCGCTCACGCGGCGGAAGCCTCTGCGGAGCGGCCGGCCCAAAAAACGCATGTTTGAGCAGGACTCGCCAGCGGCGTGGCCGCGGATTCTGGTCCCGTTGGAGCCAGCGTTGCCTGCCCAAACAGAGCGGCTGCCATCGGGCGTCGAAGCAGAGTAGTTGCGGGGCGTCGTCCCCGCTCTGGCCGTCCCCGTCGCTCCAGGCCTGCGGAGGGTGCCAGAGCCTCTTCTTCTTCTTCTGAGGAGGAGGAGGAGGAGAGGACGGAGGAGGATGAGGAGGAAGAGGAGGAGGAGGAGAATGAGGAGGAGGAGGAGGAGGAGGAGAAGGAGGATGAGGAGGAGGAGGAGGAGGAGGACGGGGGGAGCGTCCGAAGGGGAGGTGTTCGAGAAGCCATGCTTCGACACTCTGCCGCTGAAGGTGATCTGGGGCGAGAAGGACAACCTCACTCCGATCGACGGCGACGTCGGCTCATTCCTCCTGGACCTCTCCCGGAAGAGGGCCGACGTGGACTTCGAGGTCATATCTGCAGGACACATCCCCCACGACGACAACCCCGACGCGGTGAACAGCTCGATGCTGGGGTGGCTTCGCGCGGAGCCGTGGCTCGCAGATGCCTGAAGTTCTCTTTCGCAGCACGGCGCCTACCAGGTAGGGAGCCGCATTCGGTTTCAAGATCCTCTCGCTTCGCGGGGTGCACGTTTGGACCACGTAATGGCAGTCCAGTCGCTGTGGGAACTCCTGCGGGCCTCTTGGGGGCCTCTTGGAGGCTTCTTGGGGGCCTCTCGTGGCCTCTTGGGGGACTCTTTGGGACCTCAGTGGCCGCACTCTGGGTTCGGATTCCTCTCGCTTCGCAGGGTGCACGTCCAGAGCACGCACGGTAGGTTCCGGCGGCGATGGCGCGCAGGCGACGCCGGCGAGCGTGTGCAGGGTGGAACGCCGCCCCGTAGAGCGACGCGGAGCCCCCGGGGGGCACGGCAACACCACAGGGCCCGACGGAGTTCAACCCTGAACTAACTCACGGGGTCGCGATCGGCTCCAGGCGGAACGATCGACGCGGTGTCACAAACTTTTGCGGGCGCCGACGCCGCACGAACGAGCCTGCTCCCAAGACTGGGCGTTGGGCTGTTTGCCCTGGTCTCCTCCTCCTGCTCCTGCTCCTGCTCCTCCTCCTCCTCCTCCTCCTCCTCCTCCTCCTCCTCCTCCTCCTCGTCCTCCTCCTCCTCCTCCTCCTCCTTCTCCTCCCCCTCCCCCTCCCCCTCCTCCTCCTCCTCCTCCTCCTCCTCCTCCTCGCCCGCCCCGGGGTGCCGCGGGCGCCACGGGGGGGCGGACGCGCGCCCCCCCGTTTCAGCGCTGGGGCGAGAGTGCGTGTGTCCACGTGGGCCACCCAGCGATGCGACGCTCCGACAGAATCGGAGCGGCGGGTGTGTCGCCATTGGCGGTCTCCATAGGGGCCCTCGCCAGACCTCGGGGCCGTCAGAGCACAGCTCAGGGCGAAGCGCGGGCCCGAGGGAAGTGGTCCAGACCTCTGGGGCCCACGCATCGAACAACTTGGAGCAGCCGGATTTCTCGGAATGGGCATTCTCCGCGTGTCAGCACAAGGCAATGCCAAGCTATGGGAGTCTTCTTGGGACGTCGTGGAAGCCTCTTGAGCCGTCTCGGGGGCCTCTTTGGGCCATCTTAGAGCCCTTTTGGGCCGTCTTGGGGCCGTCTTGGGGGCCTCTGGGGCCGTTTTGGGGCCACCTTGGCAGCTGCGTGGGCAGTCTTGGGGGCCCCCGAGACAAGAAAAAGGCGAGAACGCGAAATACCTTAAAGACCTACATGTGAATCAATGTTTGGAACCTCTGGAGGTGCTTTTAGGGGCCCCCTTGGGTTCCCCGGGGGCCGTCTTGGGGCCTCTTGGGCCCCTTTGGGAGTCCGATATCATACGTGTTCCATGCGTTTTGGTATGTCTTTGCGGCCCAACACAGCATGTAGCAATGATAAATCGTTCGACGTACCCGATGGTGTGCCCTGCTCACGTGTCGCGCTCTTCCTCCGTGGCGTTCTGCTCGCCCTGGGGTGCTGCCAGCGCCACGGGGGGCCGGATGCGTCCCCCCCCCGTTTCAGCGCCGGGACGAGCGTGGATTCCTCTCGCTTCGCGGGGTGCACGTTCGGAGCACGTGAAAATTTGTCGATGGGTGGTTTGTTCTGCTCGTCTGCCGCGAAGTTCTGCCGTGTCGTTCTGCCCGCCTTGGGGGCGCTGTCAGCGCCACAGGGGGCGGATGCGCCACCTCACCGTTGCAGCACCTGGACGAGCGTGCGAATGTCCACGAGGTCATTGAGAATCCACCGCGTGTCAGCACAAGGCCACGCCAAGAGTTGAAAGTCTCCGATGCGCACAAACAGCGCGCCCTTCGTACACGACTCCGCTGGCATCTTGGCAGTGTATCGGGTCCGTTTGGGGGCCTGGCGTGCGGCCTCTCAGAGGCTTCTTGGGGGCCCCTGGGAGCCTCCTGGGGGCCTCCTTGGGGCATCCTTGGGGCGTCTTGGCGGCCTCTTGGGCCGTCTTGGAACGCCCTTGCGCCGTCTGACCCCCGCGGAGGACGGGGGGCTTCTCGTGGCCGCCTTCTGGGTCTCTTGAGGTTCTCTTGGGCCGTCCTGGGGGCCTCTTGGGCCGTCTTGGGGGGCCTTTCTAGGCCATCTTGGAGCTCTCGGGCCGTCTTGGACCCTCTTGGGGTTCTCCGGGGCCGTCTTGGGTCCATCTTGGAGGCATCTTGATGCATCTGGGCCCCCGAGGGCCGAAAAAGGCGAGAACGCGGAGCACTGTACGCACTTCTATGTAAATCAATGTCTTCGGCCTCTGGAGGTGTTCTTCGGAGCCTTTTTGGGGACCTCTGGGGCCGTCTAAGGGACCTCTGGGGCCCTCTTGGGGCCATCTTGGACCTCTTGGTTCCGTCTTGGGTCGTCTGGAGGCCATGCTGAGTTGTCTGGACGCCCTCTTGGACGCCCAAGAGGCCCCAGAGGCCGATATCACAGATTTTCAATCTTAGTTGTGGCGCGTTTTTTGGCACCAGAATGGGGGGACGAGAGGGGGCATTTTGGCTCGCCGAGATGGCGCGACCCCGGGGGAAGGGGGCAGGGGGGGATGCGCAAGAGTGGCACGAGCACAATTTTTGTAGCAACAGCGCAGTCATCGGATGTGCAGGATGCGTTGCATTAGGGCTCCCGCTCCGCTCCGCGACCTGCCTCAGACAACACGTCACGCCTGGGCATGGATTCTTATCGCTTCGCCGGGTGCACGTCCAGAGTGCGTCAGGACTGGGCGTGGGGTGGTTTGCCCTGCTCGTCTGCGTGCCGTTCTGCCCGCCCCGGTCGCCTTGGGGCCATCTTTGGGTCCTCTTGGGCCGTCTTGGGGGCCTCTTGAGACGTCTCGGGGGCCTCTTTGGGCCATCTTGGGGTCCTCCGAGGCCGTCTTGGGGCTCTCTTTGGGGGCACCTGGGGCCGTCTTGGGGCCATCTCGGAGACTGCTTGTTGGGCCGTCGTCCCCGAGAGTCGAAAAAGGCGAGAACGCTACCATCCTGCAGAACCCTTTCGGAAAATCCATGCTTTTGGCTTTTGGACATGTCCTTGGGGGCCTTGCTGCCCGCCGTCTCGGGGGCCTCTTGGGCCCTCTTCAGGGCCATCTTGCGCTGTCTGTTGGCCGTCTTGGGCCTTCAACTCGGAAGCGTTGGCCACGTGGAGTCGGAGAAAGGGAGAACACGAACGCCTGGCAAAAGCAGCAGTGGAGGTGCTCTTGGCCTTCCCCCCCCCCTGCGGGCCCTCTGGGGCCGCCTTGGGACCTTCTTGGGCCCTCACGGGGCCATCTTGGGCCGTCCTGGGGCCGTCTTGGGCCGTCTGGGGGCCGTCTTGAGCCGTCTTGAGGCCCTCTTGGACCCTGAGGCGGCCCCAGAGGCCCATACTTTCAATCTCGGTTCTCGTTCCTGCTTGGGCCCCAGAGGGGGGGGGCGGCCATTCTGGCCGCCGATGCTATGCGACTCCTGGGGGGGGCCAGGGGATCACAGAGTAAGGCCAACCCCGACTCCAGATCCGCCCTACTTTGGTTTTTTTTCCAATTTAAAATTGCGTCGGAAATCCACCTACAAGAGGCCGAAGAAGTAGGGCGGAAATTTCTGCACCCAACATAAAATAGGGCGGACATCGAATGAAGTAGGGCGGAAACAGCAACAGAAAAGTAGGGCGGATCCGGAGTCAGGGAAGCCGCGCAGCAGGCGGAAGTCATGCAAGACTCGGGTACACCAGGTACGTTGCACGAGGGCTCCCGATCCGCGGCGCGGACTGCCTCAGGCAGCACGCTCCTGCCGGACGTGGATTCGCGGGGTGCACGTCCAGAGCACGCACGGGAGTACAATTCGTAGAAATGATGTAATCAGTTGATACATTGGATGCGTTGCATGAAGAAGGCGTTCGCCGAAAAACGCTGCCGCTCAGCACGTTCCTTCCGGACGTGGATTCCTCCTTCGCGGTATGCACGTCCGGAGCGCGTAGAACTTCGTCGTTGGGGTGGTTCGTTCTGCTCGTCTGCCGCGAAGTGCTGCCGTGCCCTCCTGCCCGCCCTGGGGCGCTGCCAGCGCCGCGGGGGGCGGATGCGCCGCCTCCCCGTTTCGGCGCTGGGGCGAGAGTGCGAATGTCCACGAGGGCAATGAGCGTTCACCGCGTGTCAGCACAAGGCAGCGTCCAGTTCCAATTCCGATGATCATGTAGCAAGAGCGCGCCATTCGTGCACAAATTCCGCGAGCCTCTTGGTGGTTTCTTGGGGCCGTTTGGGGGCTTCCTTGGGGCATTTTGGAGGCTTCTTGGGGGTCCTCTTTGGGGCCTCTTGGGGGCCTCTTTGGGGCCTCTTGGGGCCTCTCGGGGGCCTCTTGGGCCGTCTTGGGGCGCTCTTGCGCTATCCGGCTCCTTCGGAGGCCGTCTTGGGGATCTCTCGGGGCTGCCTTGTGGGGCTCTCTTGGGGTCCTCTTGGGCCGTCTTGGGGGCCTCTGGGGCCGTCTTGGGGGCCTCTTTGGGCCATCTTGGGGCCTTCTTGGGCCGTCTTGGGGCCATCTTGGGGGCCTCTGGGGCCGTCTTGTGGCCACCTTGGAGGCTGCTTGGGCCGTCATGAGGATGAGCCTACGAGAATAGAAAACCCGAGAACGCGAATACTTAGCAAAACCATTTGGACAAAATAATGTTTTGGGGCTTTGTAGGTGCTCTTGTGTCCCCCTCTGGGGCCTTCTTGGAGGCCCCTTGGGCCATCGTGGGGCCATCTTGAGCCGTCTTTGGGCCATCTTGGGCCGTCTTGGGGCCATCTTGAACCGTCTTGAGGCCCTCTTGGAGTCTCAGGCGGCCCCAGAGGCCGATATCATAGCCTTCCATACGTTGTGGCACGTTTTTGGGCCCCACGGTTTCATGGGGGTTACATCATAAGAACGTACGAGAGTACATATTCTAGAAATGATGTAATCAGTTGATACATTGGATGCGTTGAATTAAGAAGGCGTTCGCCGAAAACGCTGCCACTCAGCACGCGGACGTGGATTCCTCCTTCGCGGTATGCACGTCCGGAGCGCGTAGAACTTCGTCGTTGTGTGGTTCTTTCCGCCCGTCTGCCGCGAAGTTCTGCCGTGTCGTTCTGCCCGCCTTGGGGCGCTGCCAGCGCCGCGGGGGGCGGATGCGCCGCCTCCCCGTTTCGGCGCTGGGGCGAGGGTGCGAGTGTCCACGAGGG